TTTGTGGATAAGTCTCCCATTTTAAATAAAAAAAAAGCTAGAAACAATAAAGCTTAGTGAGGAAGACATTTCAAAGCCAAGACAGGGCAAAAACTAGACCTGTTGTATCAAATAGTTAGCCAAGTTGTGAATGCAAAAAAAAAGTTCTTGAAAATTAAATGTGCAATTGCTGTAAGCACATGAATGGTAAGAGAGCAAAACAGCCTTATTGCAGATATGAAGAAAGTTTTAGTGGTCTGGATAGAAGCTCAAACCAGCCATAACATTCCCTTAAACCAAAGCTTAATACAGAACAAGGCCCTAACTCTTCAATTCTGTGAAGGCTGAGAGAGATGAGGAAGCTTCAGAAGGCAAGTCTGAAGCTAGCAGAAGTTGGTTCATGTGGTTTAAGGAAAGAAACAGCCTCTAACAAAAATGTTCCAGGTGAAGCAGCAAGTGTAAGTGCAGAAGCTGCAGCAGGTTATCCAGAAGATCTGAGATAATTAATAAAGGTGCCTCCAGGAAACAGCAGATTTTTAATGTAGAAGAAACAGTGTTCTATTGGAAGAAGACACCATCTAGGACATAGCTCAAGAGGAAAAGTTATTGCCTGGCTTCAAAACTTCAAAAAATAAGTCAACTCTTTTGTTAGGGGCGAGAGCAGCTGGTGACTTTAAGTTGAAGCCAGTCCTCATCTACCATTGCAAAAATCCTAGAACCCTTAAGAATTATGCTGAATTTATTCCTCCTGTGCTCTGCAAATAACACAACACAGTGTGGATGACAGCACATCTGTTTACAACATGGTTTACTGAATATTTTAAGCCCACTGTTGAGTATTACTGCCCAGAAAAAAATATTTCTTTCAAAATATTGATGCTCATTGACAGACAATGTGCCTGGTCACCTAGCAACTCTGATTGAGATGTACAATAAGATTAATGTTGTTGTCATGCCTGCTAACACAACATCCATTCTGTAGCCCAGGGGTCAAGGAGTAGTTCCGAATTTCAAGTCTTATTGTTTACAAAATGTACTTTGTCAGGCTATAGCTGACAGAAATAGTAATTTCTCTGCTGGACCTTGGGTAAGTGAATTGAAACCCTTCTGGAAAAGATTTACCATTCTAGATGCATTAAGAGCATTTGTGATTCATGGGAAGAAGTCAAAATATCATTCACAGAAGCCTGAAAATTGATTCCAACCCTCACGGATTACACTGAGCAGCTCAAAATTTCAGTGGAGGAAGTAAATGCAGAGAGCTGGTAGAAATAGCAGGAGAAGTAATATCAGAAGTAAAGCCTGAAGATGCAACTGCAGTGCAGGAATCTCAGAATGAAACTTGAATGGATAAGGAGTTGCTTCTTACGGATGAGCAAAGACAGTGGTTTCTCCAGGTGGAATATGCTCCTGGCGAAGACGCGTTGAAGACTGTCGAAGTCACAATGAAGGATTTAAAATGTTACGTGGACTTAGTTGATAACTCAGTGGCAGGTTTTGAGGGACCGACTGCAATTTTGAAAGAAATTCTGCTGTGTTTAAAATGTTA